GTATGATGTGGAAGAGTTTTGGGCTTGAGTAGCCCTAGTATTGAGTTTTTGGAGCCTGGATGTTGGACCGGGGGCAGACTGGGGTCCCCGTCTCTGTCGGGGAATGTGGTGAGATGGCAAGGGATATGCGCAGCAGAAACCAGAGATCAGAGTGGAGATGATCCTCGGTTGGATTGTACTTTCTTGCATAAGGAAAAGAGAATTTCGTGACTTGCGTGTCACGGGGCCGGGATAGTGGTCACGGGGAGGAAGTTAGTGGGATATTTGGATCATGATTTGGGTGACCTTTGGAGGCTCAGATGTGGAGTCAAAAGCTGACCTGGTGCCCAGTCTCGAAGAGGGATATGTGATGAGCTAGAGCTTATCCTGATGATGTCGGAGGACACCTCAGAGGGAGTGAACGATTCAGACGCTCAAAGACATGCTTCGGGCATGTGTATTAGATTTCGGAGGGTGTTGCGGCACGTATTTATCCTTGGTTGAGTTATCCTATTTCAACAGCCATCATTAGTGCATTGGTATGCCACCCTTTGTGCTGTTGTATGGGAGGAAGTGTCGGACCCTCATTTGCTGAGGAAAGTGTCGATTCGCGGAAGTGGAAGTTGTAGTGAGAATGGATGATTTGGAGTCTGATGGTCGAACATTGTGTCTGTGACAGTGGTATGGAATGACATCATGATGGGATGTCTGCTGAGGATGCGGAAGGGATTCCACGGGTGTAGAGCCAAGAGTCTCAGGATGGATGTAGGGATGGAGTCTGGGACTCCCAGCTTGATTCTGATCAAGGGTCGTGTGCGTAGTGGTGGTGTCTCCTGGGGACGTTAGAGATGTCATCAGTGCGACGGGTTCTCCTAACCCGAGAGTGCGAAGGTTGGTGCGGCTTGGGTGCTTGAGTGCAAGAAGAGGACTCATGAGATTTGCTCTGGGATTGAAGAGTGGCCTTTCTGTCGTCACGGATTGGATAGGATGGGATTTGGATCGGGGATCGATGGTTCATGGCTTCTAACCCTTATGGGTCAAGTGATTGTTGAGATTTGGATCAGTGATGCTTCATGGGTAATCTTGATCGTTGAGTGTGGTTATCTGAGGGTACATCCGGTGCCCGGTTCGAGACAGTGGTCAGGACACCGTAAGGAAAGGGAAAGTGTGTTCGAGTTTCGATGGGTATGCCTTGTAAGAGCGGGTCCGATTAAGGCCAGGTGGCACGTTGTGGGAGTATTTCTGGAGTTGAGTTGTTGTAGGCTTCGAGGGCGAAGCCTAATTTAAGTGGGGGAGAATTGTAACATCCCGAAATATCAAGAGTAGAGTTGAAGGGCTAAAAGAGTAAATTGGGAAAGAGTGACTCGGCGAGTCCATGTGCGGACTCGGCGAGTAGAGTCGCGACCTGGTCGCGTGTTAAGTGGCCGACTCGGCGAGTCAGTGTAATGGACTCGGCGAGTAGGCGCTGAGTGGAGAAAACCCTAATTCTCGGGGTTGAGCCTTATATAAAGATCACTATGTTTTCCTCCCAGCCTCTTTATCACCCCTTGAGCCCCAGAAAACCCTAAATCACGGAGAAGCACCATTGTTGAGTGGATTGGAGCTTGGAGAAGTAATGGTTGAAGGAATTTTGGGAAGATTGAAGGCTTGGAGCAAGGGGATTTGCTTGGATTCGAATTTCATTGCAGTTGGGGCATCACTTAGAGGTAATATCTCGTTATTGACCTGTTGTTATGTTGTTTCTTCATTTTGGGGTTTGTGAGAAATTGTCTATGGATGAAATGGGAAGTCTAGAGGTTAGATCTGAGGTTGCTACCTCAGATCTGGAAGGGAGAAGAATCAGAGAGCATGAAAGTCCCTGTGTTGGAGTGTTTAGTGAAGCTTACATGTCCCAAACCCTAGCCCCAATGTGCAAACGGCTTAGATCTCTTTGGATTCACGTAAAGTTTGCCACTTTACGTGATGGATGGGTTGTAGGAGGCTAGATCTATGTTTTGGATCAATTGCATGGCCTGGAGTGCTTCTGAATGGATTCAGAACGGTGGTACTCGGCGAGTCACATGGGTCGACTCGACGAGTTGCTTGAAGATGGCCTGGAACTCGACGAGTTGGAAGAACAACTCGGCGAGTAGGTTGAAGATAGCCTTGGACTCGACGAGTCTTGTCGAAGAGTCCCAAATATTCTCTGGTTGAGCCGAGAATCGGTGAGTCGAGTGTGAGTGGACTCATATTTGTTGGACTCGGCGAGTCTCGGGGTGACTCGGCGAGTTAGGTCACAGATTGAATGAAGTTATGATTATGGGAACTCGACGAGTCACAGGGTTGACTCGGCGAGTAGGGTCAGTCAGGGGTTGACTTAGACTGAGGACTTTGATTTCGACCAAGGGTTGGCCGTTGACTTTTAGGGTTTGGTCAGCGATGTGGCCTTTGGGCCAAGAGAGAGGTAAAATAGTCTTTTAACCATAAGAGGGTGTTATGAGAGGATTTATTCTAGTCTCGAGAGTTATATTCATGAGAGTATTTGCCTTACGTGTTAGGCGGTGGTGAGTTCGAGATTCAAGTGTGGGGATATCTGCTTCCTGCTTGCCAGGTGAGTCTTCTCACTATACTTTACCTTGAGTAGGTAACCAGAGTTATGTGATTAGAGTATTTGTATGCTATATGTACGTGATGTGTTGTACTGCATTATTTCTATGTGATATATGCTGTGCATGTTTATAGAGTTGGAACCGGAAGGTTCCCAGAGTTAGAACCTGAGGGTTCATAGAGTTTGGGTGCACGGACCCACAGAGTTATAGCCTCGAGTGGCTAATATGTGTTATGTGTTGTATTTTGGGGAACTCACTAAGCTTCGTGCTTACAGTGTTTTGTTTGATGTTTTTTAGGTTTCTTTCAGTATCACGGGACGACATCGGCTTGATTGTACACACCAGAGAAAGAGTCATATTTTGGAGGATCCTGGTTTTCTATGCAAGTGAAAATGGAGTTATGTTTTGTAAATCGACTATGAATAAGATTTTAAACAAGTGTTTCTGAGAGTAAAATGATTATTTTAAATGAAAATTTTGTCTTGAAATTTACGGTGTTACACAATTGTTCTCAAATCAGTTGCAACAATAAGAATTAAGATTGGCTGTGGATCAATGAACAAATCTGTAAAAACCTACAAAATGGAACTAATAGAAGTTAATGTTGAGACAACAAAGCAATACTGAAAACAAATAGTTATGAAATTTGAGTTTGTGGTCATCATCATTCTTAACCTATATACCAATTCCAATTTCAAACAAATAATTGCTAACATTTATCGCAATAAATAGAGAATTACTAACCTGATAGCCAAAGGGGAGCTTGTATTCGATAGAATTCATAACCGGATGTGAAAAGGAAGTCGGTAGTCAGATCGGCGTTGAAACTAATCGTCATTGTTGAGCCCGACGATTGTGCTCGGGAACTAGTATCATAATCTATGGAGAGAGGAAGAACATTCACAAGGAGTGGGAGGTGAGGAAATCACTGGAGGAGAAGATAATGGCTGAAATTACGGATGTGAGAATCTCTCTCTCTCTCTCTCTCTCTCTCTATATATATATATATATATATATATATATATATCTTGAGAGCGAGACTGATGATTGAGTGTGCGTGAATGAAGCGAAGAAGGTTGTTCTCCTGATTTAAGGCATAGAAAGCTATGGGGACGACAAGTCGTCCCTATAGCCTTCCCCAAAATCGCGCCTTACCTATTTTCTTTCCCGCTTAACATATTGAGAACACGGTAATTGTGGTAAGTAAAAGGAAAGTCAAAATCTATTGAGACGATATGGCGTCCCTGTAAGGCATGTATAGCAACGACATATGTCGTCCCTGTAGATCCCGTCTCTATATATGCTTATTCTTGTAGTGATTTTTTATTAGTTCTATTGATTGTCGCACATTCATTGTTTGTCCATTTAAAAATCCAGATGGTGTGGTTTGTTATTTTTTTCATTGTTTGTCCTATTTGCTGGTCCAAGTCAGTACTAGAAAACAGAGTGGATTCCTACGGAAATTAGCGACGGAAATTTTCCGTCGGAAATTAGTGACGAAATTCCGACGGAATCGTGACAAAAATAAAAACCCTAATATTAGTGACGGAATACTGACAAAATAGCAACGGAAATAAATTCCGTCGGAAATCCGTTGGTAATCACCGACGGATTTCCGACGGAATTTAAACGAAATACTAGACTTGGGCGGATGAGATTCCGTCACTAGTTCGTTGGTATTTACCGACGGATTTCCGACGGACTTGTCTAACTTTCGACATTTCGAGCAACATACGTCATTTTTTGTGCTTATTTTTTCTCACACGTATATTATACATCAATTGTTGTATATTTACGAAATTATAGCTAATATACATATACGATATCCGTGCGCACTATCGGAACCCCGCTAAAGATCTTATGCGTTAACATCTAATACATATTAATACATGAGATCCTGATGGTGTATTGTATGTATTAAATTTACTATAATTTGTTCAATGTGTATTAATTGGTGTAAAACAAAGGTGTAATAAAATTTATAGCGATAAAAACCATGTTTGGTCCCCGAAAACTTGAAAATTAGAATTGAAACGTTGGTCTCGAAGGTGTATATGGGTGTACGTATGTGTATTTTAGCTATAACGTATAAAATATGTAGTTACTGATGTATTATATGTGTGTGAGAAAAATAAATCGGAAAAAACGACGTATGGTGCTCGAAAAGTCAGAAATTAGAAAAGATCCATCGGAAACTAGATCACCCGTGGCCTGTCTTTTCAAAGATCCCATTGGAGTTACGCAGACAGATATTTGAGCGTTTCCGGGTAATATATTAAGTATTTATTAATATATCTTATGCTCATTTGTTTTATTTTGGATATTTGACTTAACATTTTTTTTCTTCAAACCTTGTATCGGTGGTCTCCGACAGAAGAGGAGAGGATCTACCAAGGCTTTGAGAATATTTTGAAGGAGCGCTACCGTGACCGGATGAGGGACGCTAGGGATGCTTCAGTCATTCTAGCAGAACAAGGTGGCCACCATATCGAAGATGTGAATGAATCTTTTCACATCTTAGAAAATTTCCATCCCCAATACATCCTAGAGAATGTTTGGAAAAACTTATGTGCTGTAAGGGATTCAATACATTATTTTTGTTTTTGTTGACTTTTATTCCTTGTTATATTATTATAGATATATTTTATTTACAGTATTGGAACACTCCTAAGTGGAAAAACATATCTGCATGTGCAAAGGAAAACCGCAACACTCCCGATGCTAATGGGAAGACTGGGAGGCACACAGGCGGGAGCATTGGAAATGCTGACCATCGCAGGAAACTGGTAAATAATTGAAGTTATAAAGCTTATTAATCTACTTTTCTTAATATTAACTACAACTATATTGTGTCGTTTATGTAGAAAGAAGCAACAAGTAAAGATCCATCATGGTTGGATCTGTTTATGAAGACCCGTCTTGATAAGGAATCAAAGAAAAGATATTTTGAAGGTGATCGTTCCAATTTGCACTTTTGCTCAGAGACTGCACGTCAGGGACATGTAAGTTAACTTTATCATTTCTATATTTTGATAGTCTCAATTTTTGTTATAATCACAATGATGTTATTTTGGTAAATTATAGGATTCATATATGAGGGGACTGAGTGAGAAATATGGAGATGATCCCACAAAGCATGTGCTCGATGTTGATGTATTGAACATGTCATAGTTGCAGAGACAGAAAGGGACCCACAAGGGTCGTATGTATGGGATTGGGACTGCCGATAGTCAGTTTTTGTTTACGGGGTCACTATCTGTGGGGGGTGACAGCTCACATTATGTGCAAAATGAAGAGGTATGTTCTTTTTATTAGTACATTACTATAATGAATAAAAAGTATAGTATGTTATTATTATTACATTGCTATAATGGATAAAAAGTGTAGTGTGTTGTTATTATGAGTACTTTGATTACTATAATGGGTAAAAAAGTCAAAATATGTTGTTATTTTGTGTTCGTTTCTATACTGGATAAAAGGTATAGTATATTGTTATTATGAGTATTTGATTACTATAATGGGTAAAAAAAGTCGAAGTATGTTGTTATTATGAATACGTTGCTATAATGGACAAAAAGTATAGTATGTTGTTATTATGGATTAAATTGATTGCTATAATGGATAAAAAAACTCAAAGTAAGTTGTTATTATGAGTACGTTGATATAATGGACAAAAAGTATAGCATGTTATAATGAGTACTTTGATTGCTATAATGGATAAAAAATGAAAATATGTTGTTATTATAAGTACATTGCTACAAGGGTTTTATTAATTATTTATGTTTGTCTTACCATTTTTAGGTAGAAAGATTGCGCAATGAAATGGCTAGCATGCGGGAAGCTGAAGCACAAAGGGAAGCACGAGACGCACAAAGGGAAGCACGAGACGCACAAAGGGAATTGGAAATGGAGGAGATGCGAAAAAAGCATGCCTTGCTTGAAGCACAAATGACGGATTTTTTCAAGCAAAACAATTTCTCTGGAAATCCACCACAAAGAAACTAGTTTATGTTTCTAATCTAAAATATTGGTAATCATATTTTGTGACACTTTTTAGTTATGTTCAAACAATTGGTAATCACATCCGAAGTATGATGTTTAATTAGGTATTTTGGAATACTAATTAGTGTCTTGTTAGACGGTTAATTAAATATGGTAATCGTATGTGGTGTGATCATATTTTGAGACACTTTATCGTATTTCTTTTTTATGTATTCACTTCAGTTTACCTCTTGCATTTATGTGGATAAAAATTGGATTTTTTTTTTTAATTATTTTTTCTTTTTAAAAAATATTTTACCGACGGAGTAGTGACTGAATACTCACAAACGAAAAGTAAGAACATCCGTCAGAAATCCGTCACAAAAAACAATCAGTCGGTAACCCATTACTTATGATTCCGTCGGTAATCCGTCACTTACGGTTCTGTCGGTAAACCGTCACTTATTGTTCCGTCGGTAATCCGTCACTAAAACTATCCGTCGGTAATTAACGTTCCGTCGGTAATCCGTGACTAAAACTATCCGTCGGTAATCCGTTACAAAGAAGTTTCTGTCGGTAATCCGTCACAAACAGTATCCGTTGGTACTCCGTCATTATTGCGTCGTTAATTTGGTCAAAGAGGTCCGACAAATGGACGTCGCTGTCCGTCGGAAATCTGTCGGAAATTCCGTCGGTATTCCGTCACAAACAGTATCCGTTGGTACTCCGTCATTATTGCGTCGTTAATTTGGTCAAAGAGGTCCGACAAATGGACGTCGTTGTCCGTCAGAAATCTGTCGGAAATTCCGTCGGTATTCCGTCACAAACAGTATCCGTTGGTACTCCGTCATTATTGCGTCGTTAATTTGGTCAAAGAGGTCCGACAAATGGACGTCGCTGTCCGTCGGAAATCTGTCGGAAATTCCGTCGGTATTCCGTCACAAATAATTACCCACGGGGCTTTTTACAACAGAACGAATTCCGTCGGAAAACTTGTTTAGCGACGGATTTCCAACGGATATGGCCGTCGGAAATCGCCCAGTTTTCTAGTAGTGAGTTAACATTTGCCGGAGATCTTATATGTGATGCAGTCGTTCTTAGAGGTGTGATTGTCGATATCTACCTTCTTCTTAGGGTACCCTATCTTAATGAGATCCTCGAAGTCTACTGTTGCTACTTTTGTTATATACTATGCTTAACAGAATTAGTGCTAATAAAAATTATCGAGAAAAATAACCAAGTAATCTTGTAATTTTAGATACCATTGAATTAGAAAACACGCTAATTAACATTGCCTTTTAAGTGGAATGAACGAAACACATATCCTCATAAATAATCTATTATGTTGATTACTAGAATAATTGCATACACCATCGATCTTAAAATCCGTTGCTAAAATTGTAATTTACTATATTCTAAGTTTTACATGAAGAAGAATTAATTATCTTATACATTATTTAAATAATTTCTGCATAGAACACATGTAACTGCATATTGATTCCGTTTCTGCTATAAAAATCACCCATACAAAGAATAATTAAAATTGAATTCTTTATCTTAAAAAACAATTAACTAATAATACTCAAAACTCTAGCCTCTGGTATACTTTGAAGAGCAGGCCTCCAGTAACTCCCACAATTTCGATTCACTTGCCTGCCTCTTTGAATCTGTAATCTCTTTATCTCCTTCAACCTTCGTTCTAATGGATTTGAAACTGATGATCTCATTAATGGTCGCATATCAACATTGTCATTTTTCTTCACAGCTTGTTCAAGAATTTTCTGCAGTTGATGTCTTTTCATCAGGACTTTCATCCTCACCACTCCGTCTTTTCCCACTGTCCGTGAAACTACACCTCCCGGAACCCCTGTGACATCAAGAACTTTGAGATTTGTAGTAGCCATTTGATTTTTCGACCTTGCAATTTGAGATGAAAATATTGATTCTATTTTGTTTAGATATTGGAGATAACTACTTATGTTTATGCGCCAATGAATTGCATGGTTTATATAGGTGTGTGGTGTACCTATAAACCTATAAAATCTAATAAATAAATAAAAACACAGCACATTAGAGTTGGTTCATCAACTGAAATCAAGAATGTCAAACACATTAACTGTACAATTATTTAAAAAAATGAAGTTGTTCGTTATTTGGCATTGCCATTTGATTTTTTTTTTTCGACCTTTAAGCATTACACATTAGCCAAACTGTCCTTGCCTGAAATATTATTATTAATGAAAATGTTCGTAATTTGACAATGGCGTTTGATTGAATTTTGTTCAACAACGTATTAATTTAAATGGTTTGATTTCCTTTAGAATAAAGAATTATTTGCAACAAAAACAGAGAGACAGATATTTTTCATCTTTTTCACATAATACCAATATATATATATTTTTTTATCAATTGTGATAATGTACTTCACCAATCTTATCAGTAGCATAACTACTGCGATCTTCATTGCATTTGCATTGGTTTGTAGAAAATATTAGAGCTCAACAATAGAAGTCAATCGGTTGAGCTCAGAATTTCATATAGGAGGTTTAATGTTCAAAACTTGCACAATATTGATATGGCCCCGCAGTTTATTCCCACGTGGGTCTTGGGACGTGTACATTGTAGACCATCCAAATGATAGGGTTTACTATTTTTATTGAACAAAAACGGATATGTACGAGTAGTCTCTAGCACATGACCTCTTATTAATCAATCGGCGTTGATGATGAAGCGTTGATGGTGAAGCGAATTTCATTAAATTTTAGTTATATTATCGGTTAGTTTTTAATTTTTCATTGAATTTAACTTTAAACTAAAGTAACAAGTTATGGAAACTAAAAATCAAATCAAAACAATTAAAATACACATGTCAAGTTCAATCTTCTAGATTTTTCTCATTACCAACATCTCAATATGTGTGTATGGGAAATACATAATTATCTAAAAGGTTTTATAGGATTAGATAATTTACAAAGATAAGGAAGATATATTACATGAAATGATGTTCATCACTAATAGTTCCCAACATTCAAAGTAGAACGTGGAGATAATCTTGAAAATCGTCGAATAAAAATATATGGGGGTCCATTTGTAATGTTTCCACAAGTTGACAATGACAAGGAACATTCTAACATCCCGATGTTCAGGTACTTCTAAATTCATCCTTATAATTTCATTTCATGTCAATTGGTCAAGTGGTAGCATTATTGGGCATAATTGAGGTTTAGACAAGGCGTGTTGGAGGCACCAACACGGCGTGTCTGAATATTAAAAGGTGCACGTTTTATTTTGGCATGCGGCGTGTTGACCGCTGAGAATGAAACCCTAATATTTCGGGTTTTCTTTCTATTTAAAGGAATGTGGAGGCTAGGGTTTGTTCACCGTCAGCCTCCATCAGCACCTTAAGCTCTAAAAGAAACCCTAATCATTTCCTCTCCCATTTTTGAAGCTAGTTGGTGTTTGGAAGGAAGAAGGATGCAAAGATCCAACAAGCAAGCCCTATTCTTCAGTTTGGCACTCTCCTGGACCTTTATAAGTGTCCAAAACCCAATTTTTATCATTCAAAGTTGTTAGATATTGAATTTTGTCCCTTTTTCTCCTTGCTCTTAGATGTTGCAATGGATGGATCTCATAAAGTTTGCAACTTTATGTATCTCCAAGTCAAGGTGACCTAGTAGTAGGTTGGATCTAGCCTATAACCAAATTTTGATGCCATGCATAAATATTAGGTCATAAATCCTCCTTTTAACCTAATATGGGTTCAAGACATGCATTAGGATGGTTTAGGTGTTTGAACCACTTCTGGAAAGGATGGACTTCGGATCTTAAGGATAAGGGGATTGTGGTTAAGCCCTTGCATTATGAAGCTTGTGAGTTGGGTTCTTGGACCTTTTGGTACTCCCAATGGATAAAGTTGAAACTCTATCCTTCCTAATCATATTTAGTCTAGATCAGCGCTTTGGAGCTTGTGGGGATAAAAAGGGCAGTTGAATGTATTAAGTTGTTGGAATTCTAGCAAACACAACGTATTTGCAAGTTAACACAGCGTGTTGGCTGAAGTTTTCCCGTCTGTTCGTATGCTCACGGAACACGGCGTGGCCAGAAGGAACACGTCGTGTTGGGTCAAGATGGACTGTTAACCTTGACCGTTGACTTTGACCAAGTTGGACTTTGAGGGTATTTTGGGATTTCGATGGAATTGGTCACTTCGTGGATTTAGGTATTGTGTTGTGAGCTGAGATTCGGAGCCGGGCCTCATCAGTTCTATCCAGTTGCAAGGTGAGTTTTTCTCACTGTACTTACGGGTCAAAGGCACCAAGGCCGGCCCTTTGGATTGTTATCCTGATTTATCGTATGATTATGTACTATAGTGATGTGTTAGATCTGCATCCTAGTAGATAGGATCATGTTATGCTTAGTGGTATGTAAGATCTGTTTGTTTGTTTATTGGCTGGTTATTGTATGCTTATCTGTTATATGTGCACATGTTTGTCAGAGGCTGATGCGTCACTTCTTTATGTGTAAGCCAACAGGACGGGACATTCCAACCTTATGGTTAAGGGCATAGGGTATTCCATCCCGAGGATGATTGGACCTATAGAATGTTGGTATTCCAACCTGAGGGTTGAGGGGTTGGGGTATTCCAACCCGATGGTTGATAGGACCTATAGTATGTTGGGATTTGATGATATATGGTCCATTAGCATGGCCTAGACCACTCTAGAGCGCCAACCTGGCCTGGCACGCTCTTGCTGGCCTTGTCTGGTGCTCCCTTGTCAACCATGCTTGGGACTATCTTGCTGCCCGGCCCGACGCTCCCTTTCCTGGAGTTCCCTCGCCTAGCTCTCCCTTGTCATCCCTTACTGGCTGGCATCCCCCAGCCGTGCCTGGGGCGCGCCCGCCAGACCTGCCCGGCACCTCCGGGCGGCCTCGCCCAGTTCCTTGCTAGTTGGGCCTGAATTGGGCTGGACCAAGGCCTAACCTAATTCCCCTTGACCTAATTGTCCGCTATAAATAGAATAGTG